AGCAGCAGCTGGATCAGCTGGCTGATCTACTTTCTATAATTCTAGTGAGGACGCAGGCAGCAGCATCTGGATCAGCTTCAGTCTCTGATGGACCTTGTAGTTGAACCTATGCAGACTCTGTTGCAGTGATCAATTCTACTATAGATAAATGCTTGAAAGAGTTTTTCTAGATCCTGCAGGTCATCAGTCCTTTAATCCTGGAGATGTTCTTCAAGTGATCAAAGTCTGACTCAGTAACTTTCTTTCTGAGCCTCTGAAGGTTCAGTTATGATTTTTGTGTTTGAACTAAATTCAGAAAACTTTCAGGAAGCAATTAAAGGTTTATGAAGTTTAACAGCAGTAGTAGAGGACTTTTGGTGTATCTTTCCTCCACTAGGTGGCAGCAGGCAACCTGGAAGCAGTTTCCAGGAAGACGACTGGATCTTTGAGGTGAACACAGTAAAGATGTTTGAAGGAATCAATGAAATCAAAGAAAAGACTAACTGGAGGCTTAACTAATTCTCTCTCAGGGGGAATATTTTCTAGGAACTCCGGGGGTGGGGGGTGGGGTTTTAGTTTTAGCTCGGAACAGCAAACCAGTAATGGCTGCCAGTGAGAAACTTAATCCATTGATTTTTCAGAAAGATTCTGGACATAGACAACCAGCTGGCACTGCATGGAACTGGGAAGCCTTAGAGCGATAACACTGAAGGTACGACAGGCTGGGGTTAGGAGGCTTGGATTACCACATAGTGTAACAATCAGGCGGCAAGGAACTGGCAGAACTGGCAGTGTCCTATGATCCTCCGAATGACTGTCTACCAGCTGCAGGTGCGCCTTGCTAGAGGCCGGCTCAGCTACTGTGCCTGTGAAGCTCTCTGCTGGGGTCAAAAGCCACAGCTACACCCCCAGACCCCCAACAGGTTCAGGTCTGAGTCCATCATGATTTCAGCCATAATCAGTGGTTTCTAGCTGATGCTGGGAGCTAACTCTGGATCTCTGCTCCTTTGGTCCAAATATTATTACCTCAGGTTGGTTTTTATCCAGTTGTAGAAAATAGTGGTTAATCCGCAGATTTATCTTTTCTAAGCATCTAACTAACGCTCTGATTGGTTCATAGTCACCTGCTGACATTGGGATGTAAAGCTGAATGTCGTCTGCATAGTGATGCTAACTGATCTGGTTGTTTGCTATAATCTGAGCCGAGGGGGGCATGTAGATGTTGAGGATGTAGATGCTGAATAGGAGGGGCCCCAGAATGGACACTTGAGGAACCCCACATGTGATTTTTCTGGTCTCCGATTTAAAGTACCTTACTGACTCATAGAAGTCCCTGTCCTTCAGGTAGGATTTAAACCAGTCCAGTGCTGAACCAGAAAGGCCAACCCAGTTTCCAGACGCTCTAATTAAATCCACTGATCAACAGAATCAAACTCTGTACTCAGGTCCAGTAATATCAGCACTGTGGTTCTTCCAGAGTCTGACTTAAAGGATGTATTGAACACCTTAATCAGGGCAGTCTTTATAGTATGGTTGGCATGGAAACCTGACTGAGAGACATCAAAGCAGCTTCTCGTTGTTAAGAAGGAACAACTGTTGATACGCAACTTTTGCAATAATTATACTGATGAAGGGGAGGTTTGAGAATGGCCTGTAGTTCTTAAGGAGCAATTTGTCCAAGCTTCTCTTTTTCAACAATGGTTTGAAAATAGCTGTTTTTAAGATTCAAGTTAGAAGAACTCCAATTCCTAGCAAGGACCTAACCAGAATGTTTAACTGAAACCTGGCTGCATGATCATATCTTAAACTCCAGCGTCTCCCTGCCAGGCTTTCTGACCATACCAGCACCTCAGCCTGTTCATATAATTCCTTTGAGACATTCAAAGGAAGTGGTTGGCAGTGTTAGTGAAAAACAGATGATGTCATCCAGGACCAGGCTCGGACTGGTAATCTGTGATAGCGGGCATTTGCCTGGTGGGTCGGTCCTAATTTTAGCATGCGAGGGCCGGCCCTCCTTAAATCTTACCGGCCCCAACTCTTACTGTCCAGCAGAAGGACCGATAAAAACAAGCCACTAGTGCTTTAAAAAACTCAAAAAGAAGTAATACAATGTTAACTACCTAAAAGATGCATGCAGTATATATAGCCCTTCCTTGTGCACATCCTTGTGAAGGTTACTATATGGTATAATGCTGTGATGTCATCAGTTCTGTTGCTAAGCTACAGACACAGCAGCCAAATGCAATTGTGGCAATAACATTCCAACAGGTTGTCAGCTGCTGAACCAGAGAAAACAAACCTTTGGACTAATTTTATGTAAATGGCAGAGACTCAGATCTCTAAAATAAGACATCTTGATCACAATCTTGTTTTCTTCTTGTCTTGCAACTTAATAAGAGACAACCTGCATTAAAAAGAACTGTACTGCTGTGTGTTTTGGGCTTCAAGAACCCATAAACATTGAAATTTGGACGCTTGTTTAAACGCTGGTCAAGTTGCTTTGATGCTTCAATGTTCTGGTTGTTTATCTGTTCTGTTCTGTAGCTTTAAGCTAGAGAGCAGCTTGGCTTTATTTACTTTATGAGTTTTTAAACTAGTTTTAACACCTTTCTAAGTGAGAAAGTCGACCTCCAAACATCCTCTGTTCATCAGGATTATAATCCCACTATAATCTGCGGTCCTTGTTGGGAGCTGCAGACCTCCAGCATCCCGCCGGGAGGCAGCGCTGGGAATCCCCGCTGAAAGCTCTCTGCTGCAGGCAGCCTGTGGGGGATTTCCTGCTGTCGTTCGTAGCGGCTAGAAGTGAATAAAACGTTTATAATGTTTGAGGTAAAAACTGCAAGAACCAGAATATATAATCTAATATTTTTCATCAGCAAGTTTTAACATTTCTAGTTAATTTGGGTATTTATAACCTGTTTCTCTGTAGCTCATAAAAAATGTTTTAGTGCAGCAATAATGATCAGAGCTGCTTTCTGTTCCTTCTACATAACAATCCATTCTACCTGCTTTATTTAACCTCTGGAGTTAAAGTCCTTGATATTTATTTATTTTTTATGTGCAGAATGTCTGCAGAAGCGATGACAGCTGCCAGGTAGTGTCTGTCTCTCCTGGATCAGCTTCTCTGATTGGTTGACACGCCGGCGTCCAGTGTTAAAAGTTCAGATTTCCTAGACCATTACAGAGGATCCTTCCTGTCTGCAGCATCAACATCCTGAGCAACTGGTTTAAAAAACCCACTGGTTTACTGCAACATGTAATTCCCCATTGGGAGTAATAAAGTATTTAAATAAAAGGGGGCTCAATTTGAACAGAAAGCCAGTTTGGTGCTGATGATAGAGAACTAACTTCAGTTCATGTGGATCCTGCTGAAGCCACGGTATCTATTCAGGTGTTAGCTGCACGTGTCCAGCTGCTTCTCAGCCTTCAGACCTTTACACTTCAGATCACCATGATTGCTTTTTACAGCTGCTATGTTCTGAGTCATTGAGGATGATGTTGATGATGAGGCCAGAGGTCCATTGACACCTGTGACATCATATGAACAGGCTGAGCTGCTTTGGCTGCTCCTCTTCCTGTCAAGCTTGAGCTTACCCCATTATCTTGACCAGCAGTGGATAGACAGACAGTAGCTAATGCTAAATCTAAAACCTGTTAGATGGTCCACCACACATCAACGTCCCCCATGGTGAGCCGACCTTCCAAACACATATAGAAGAGCTCAGTCAGGTGTTTTTCCTCATCAGCCAACATTTAGGAAAAGATTTTAGGAAATGTCAGCAGGTCAAGGAAGGTATCTGAGGGCAACTATGAAGAAAGGCTTCTAGAGCGATGAAGGTACTAACCATTATTCATTTCATGCAGTAACCCTCACCTGTACGGCGGCCGGTTGGGTTCAGGATTCTCCTTCTTGTGCAAACATCACTGCAGCCCAATAGATGAGTCACATATGTAGAGTTAAACATGTCCTAGCTTCATTCTACATTCTCCAGAGCTATATTCCAGCCCAGACACGAGAAGATGTGTCAGGTCTTTACCTGTAACAATTTGTTTAGGCCACATGTCTGCTGGCTGCTGCTCTTTAAGCACTAAAACAGAATTTCTGGACAGAGCAGAGTGCCAGACCCTGCCTTGGATTAAAACAGGCACCGTGGATTAATCCAGAGGTGAGATTTTGACCTCTGGAGGTGGGAGGTGTTGGCTGCAGGGCAGGGATGGACCCTGGGGGAGTGTTGGCCTAAGGGTTAGAGCAGTGCAGCTGGTTTGATCCCCACAGCCTCCACTGTTGGTCCCTGAGCAAAGATCCTTAACCTCACACTGCTCCCCGGGCGCCGAACAATGGCAGCCCACTGCTCCCGAAGGGGATGGGTTAAATGTTAATTTCTCCATTGTGAGATCAATAAAGCTCTATTTCTATGTTTGACCCTCCCCCCACAGGACACCCTTCCATCTGTTCCCTGGCGTCCAGCTGGAGAAACGGGAGAACCTGTCCAAGGAAGAGGCTGTGCTAAAGGAACAAAACATCTGGATGGCTTTGCTCCTCCTCTCCACTCACTCTGAGAGGGTTTCTGGCTCTTTGACCTCTACTAATCCTCAGGTTTCCTGGTTTCTACCTGCTTCTGGACATAAACTTCCTCCTGTCAGGTTGGGAGGTTGTTCACATTCCACAGATTCCATGTGGGGTGGACCTCAGCTCAGAGCGGAGAGGCAGAGGCAGCTTGATCTGGTCTCTTTCTGGAAGCTTTTCTCTCCATGTCTTTGAGTCTTAGTGGGACCAGTGATTCTGATGGCAAATGGCTTCCAGGTGGTTCTCAGAGAACCCGGGAAGTCTAAAACAACTCCACCTCTGAGACATACAGACACAATGGGTGTTTAACTAGCAACCCCACAGTCACACTAGTTCAGTCCAACAGAACCAGAAAAGCAGGTTTCTGATGAAAAATGATGAGATAACGAGCAAAGACGGTTTGACAGACAGAGAAAACGCTACCTTGAACATCTCCTCATATTTCAAGAAGAGGACGTTGGAATCCATCCGATGCTCCCAGAACTCCTGAACATGTTCAAACCAGGAGCCATACGCCACTGGAGGAGGAACCAAGGACAACAGGCTTCAGCAGGAGATCGAGGCAGCAGTACGTAGCGAGCAGAACGTTCTTACGTTTATCGTTCATGAAGCGGCGACAGAACTCCTGGAAGGTTCCCCGGTAGCTCATGGTTCTCAGAGAGCGGTGGAACTGGTAGTAGGACACCACCAGGTCTTTAGGGTTCCTGGCCATGTAGATAACCTGGGGCAGAAGGTCATATTCCAATGTCTCATAAACTACAGACATGACAGCAGAGGTCCAAATCATTTACACTGACCTTGGCCTCTCCGCTGTGCATGGCTGCAGGCAGGAATCGGTAAGGAAGGTGGCTTTTGACCAGGCGGGGGGACGTCAGCTCCTGCAGGAGGACAGCATCAGCTCAGGACTTGTCCACACTGGGTCCATTAGAGGCCCTCTGAGGGACTCTGTGGCCCCCAGCATCAACCCTAGGCGGGGCCACACCTGGCCTACAGCCTCAGACTGATGGATGTTTAATCAGAAACAGATTCAGCCACAAAGGTTTCGTCATGACTTGCCTAACTCCGCCCATTTTCTCATTACCGTTCATCTGACCCACTAACTCCAGCTTCTATTTAAACAGCTCTCAAACCAGTAATCAGTGCTATATTATTCTAAAGCCAGTGGTGAAAGTGTTCCAGCATTAGCTTAGTGTTTCTGATGACCTGATCCTGACCTGTTCTGCCTCTCAACCATTGAGCCTACCCTTTCCTGTTCTAATCTGTTTGCCTGACCTGTCTTTGGACTCCCACTGTATTCCGGCTGTTTAATGAACTTAGAGCTGCTGAGACTGACCTGGGTTTCCCTTCGGAACCTCTTTAGACTTCTGATCTCCTGGTTCTGAATCCTGAGAATGTCCTCAACGCCAGCTTTGGCTTCGCCCTCTGGCTTATCCCTCTTTCCTTCGTCCACTCGGATCTGGTCTCCTGTTTGTTCTACGTCCTCTGGAGCTGCAGAGTCTGGGACACTCTGAGCTACCGGGTGGAATCAACCTCATCCTTTGGACACGGACTAAGCTTTAAAACCCGGTTAGTGACTCAAGCGTTCGTAATTATCCTCCTACAGATTTACGCGATCACTAACCTAAGTTTTCCTCCTGCAGACTTTCCTGCTTTTTACGCCCTAGCTGTTTCTCCAGATCCGCCTTATTTAATTAAAAGCTTTGAAATGGGTTCCAGGATAACGTGATCATTTATCCAAGAACAGAAGTGAAAACTTTTAGACCCAAACCCGATCAGTCTCAGCTGAAACAGCTCTATGTTTAGACGTCATTTTCTAAACAGCAAATATCTACAGCAGGTAGCTGAGATATCAAGGAAGCATTATGACAATGCTTGGACTGGGAGTCACCAACCTTTCTGAGGCAGAGCTACTTCAGGGTACCAAGGGCTCCTGGTACTGACGTCTGAACAAAAAGAGTCTCAGTTCACTTAAACATTTTTCCAAATGTTTATAAATGCAACTTTGCTTAAAAACTGGTTCACACATATTCTAAAGTAAAGTGTTTTTAGTGGTGTGAGATTGGAGAGCCCCAAAGACCTGAATGCCGATCCAATATCAGTGGTACCTGGATGACGTCCAGCCCGGGTTGGGGGTATTCTATGACCGGTAGCTGTTCATCGATGTTCAGAAGGCCGATCTCATCAGGATCTGCTCCCTGGCTCACTAGAAACACAACCTCCTGCAGTAGACTGGTCCCTGCAAGAACAGACGGAGGGAGATTCAGCTCAAAGCATCTGTTCATTTAACAGGTCATAAAAACCCTTTGATTTATTAAACAAGAAGAAGCCAAGAGAAAAACACTGCAAAAAATCCCCACATGTAAATGCTGCCCTACAGTCTAATGGAGGCGTGCTCTGGCTGTACCATCACTAACTGCTGGAACCTGTTAGAACAGTGCAACATGGTGGACAGCCTGTGGCCTGTGGTCCAGGGCCCCCAGTAGGTCCTTTAATGGGTTTAATAAAGACTTGAACTTGAACTAGGCCACTATGTCTCAGTGAGGGTCTGTATTTGTCATGGAGCTGCCAGGCTGTGGATTAGATCAGAGTTTGTATCATTAACCAAATTCTAGATACAAGCAGATGAAATTCTGTCCAGAGTTTGGAAAAAAACAAAACAAGCGTGCATAGCTTGAACTTTGAACATTCCTCTTTATCTTCTTTGCGATACAGCAAATCAAACTCCTAGATAATGTGAGAACTACGTTTGTTTCTGCTCCAAAGGTTACATGAGTTTCCTGTGACCTGGTGTGAGATATGATAAAGGGAAATCCAGCAGTTCATAAGGCAACAGGAAACAGATAGAGAGCTGCTATCGGTCCCTGAATAAACCCTCTGCTGATTTTAACGGCAGATGAGCAGAAAAAAACTCTCAGAAGATCAGATTTCAAGGAAAAAATGTAGCACGGAGGAAGAATGTAGGACATGAAGTCCATAATAGATGAAGATGAATCTCGTTAAATCAGCAACGGATGTTTGGTCATGATAGCTATGTTCCCTGATGTCTCCTGCTGTCTGATTGTACTTTGGGATTTTACCTTCCCTTCCTTCTGCCATATCTTTTCTACTGCAATGGAGAATGAGTAGCATGAAAGAATAGTGTCCTCAGGTCCTTACAGTGGTAAAAACGGCCAGATTGTGTTTAAAAGGAGGGCAGTTTAGTGTTTGAATGAAACAGTCTCACATGTTTCTGTCACTCATTCCTCCCTTTGTTGCTGTAGTCACATTTCACAGCAAAGATCTACTAATCCTGTACAGACAATAACTGGATGTAATCAGCCGATTTTCCTCAGATAGAAACTTTAACCTTTAACATGTCTGGATAATCTGGTTGAATCATCTCAATAAAGTGACCTGAGATTATATGAGTTGTGAATAAGAACTATAGAAAGAAACTGAATTGAATATAGTAAAGAGAATTGGATCACATTGGTTAACATGAACAAAAAGAAATCGATCAGATAGATCAGATTTAAACCAGTCTAGTGCTGTTTCTTTAATTCCCACAAAATATTCAAGTCTTTCTAAAAGAATATTATGGTCAACTGTATCAAAGCCAGCACTGAGATCCAGCAGGAGGAGCACAGATACAAGTCCATTATCTGAGGCCATGAGAATATCATTAGTGACTTTCACCTATAAGCTGCTGTAGGGTTAAGCTGCAGGAGGACATAGGGGCCACTTTGCTCTCTCTGCCCCTCTGCTTCAGATGGAGAGAGAGAGAGATAGATAGATGCTTTTCATCACCTTCGGAGTCAAAGTTAAACAAACTTTTTGACAAGTATATCATGTCAAAGACCCTTTATTATGCTGACATTTTAAAGAGTTCCCTTTAAAGGCAAGGTATGGCAAATGACATATTTTTATTCCATCACAACAAAAATAATGGTCCTAGCTTTCTTTCTCAATAGGTGAATATAGTTCAAAGCTATTTTTGATGATCAGCCTTCCAAATATCTTCATCCAATGTGTTGGACCATTGCTCTTAATTGAAAAGGTGTTTCTCTTTATATTCTACGAACACAATAAGGAAAATGATTTAAAAGATGACTGAAACCAAGCTTGGCGATTTTAACTTTTGACAAGACTGTCCCCTAAACTTGTGGACAGCGGAATTCAACCTGTTCTGCAAAATATACAGTTTAAGGGATTTCAAAGGAGAACAAACAGAACCCGTAAACTGTTGGCTAATAAATTACATCTATTTGTTGTGTTTCTCAGGAAAACGATTGGTGTTGATTAGAGAAAAGATGCAATGTCAAGAGTGAAATTTGAACCAAAGCCTCCTAACGGAGACCAGAAAGCTCTAAGCAGGTAAAGATTGATTCCTTGAGTCTGGCGCCTTGGACCACTCTTCCATTCTGACTCTACATTTGTGAATCACAGTGCATAATATGATTAGATAACTCAAAATTCTATGAAATTTGGTGTATTAATAAATGCACAGCTGGGCAGTATTGCTCAAGCAGCCTGTGGTTGAGTAAGCACCAAGGACAATGTGATGCTATTGATCAAGAGTTTTGCACAAAACCAGCAGCTGTTCTACAAAGTTGGCTCTGTAATACAAGTGCATATATGCAGTCATTGAGTGGGACGACAAGACTGCTATTGTCAACATATCAAAACTGATTGCCCTACCTAGCACGACACTTGCAAAGTCAGCAAAGATTTGAAACACCTAACATGGGACTTGAACCCATGACCCTGGGATTAAGAGTCTCATGCTCTGCCAACTGAGCTAGTCAGGCTCAGTTTCCTGTTTTCAAGGGTGCTTTTAGATAACCAGGAATGATAATATGATTTGAAACGTAACAGAGCAAAAATGTTAATAACTAGATGATGATGGACGGACGGACAGACAGACAGACAGATCCTACAAAGTTCATAAAAGTGAGATAACGGCATTACAGAACGTTCTGCAGTTCCATGAACAGCAGTCTTGTCCTGTTCTCTCTATTCATCTCCACACCGGACTCTGTGCCAAGGACATTAAGAGCACCACTGATGCACAAACAAAATGTCACATACCAAGGAAAGACTGGCTTAACAAACAAGGCCATAAGGCTGTCACATGACAGAGTGGATGGAGACCTGCAGAAGGCCTGAGGAGTTCAACAAGTTCTGTCCAAGAACTGTAACCCAGATGTTTCACACTTATGAAAGAGTTTCTGGAATCTGATCTGCAGCCTCCCTTAGCCCTGGTGACCCATATAGATGTCACCGCTGGCTAGGGCGGAGAAAAACGGCTTGATGGGATTTCTTAGAACTCTTTGTTTGATTTTGGTTGTATAATTAAGAGCTGGTTACTATTTTTTCAGTTCTTCAGTTCTGAGCTTGACACAGATTATAAAATAACAATTATATAAATGTGGAGTTAATAAGTTCAGTCTTTGCTGAAAACACAGCTGATCAGGTATAGAAGCTTCAACCTGTATGTAAGGATGAATCAAAACAAAGCAGAGTCCTTCTAGAATCTAGACTGACGGAATAAGAAATACAGTCATAAACTCACTTCAGGAGAAAACCCCCACCTTACTCCTTACATCCAAGGGCAGCACATAAAAACTGTGTTTCAAATACCTGGGTGTTCATGTCAATAATAAACTGGACTGAACTGATAACACTGTGCCCTGTATAAGAAGGGCCAGAGCCGCCTCTCTCCACCTCCTGAGGAGGCTGAGGTCCTTTGCAGTGATCAGGCCCCTGCTTCAAACCTTCTCTGACTCTGTGGTGGCATCAGTCCTCCTCTACGCTGTCGTCTGCTGGGCTCCTGGCAGCACAGAGCGGGACAGAAAGAGACTGAATTAAGTGGTGAGAAAGGCCGTTTCTGTCCTAGGCTGCACTCTGGACTCTGAGAGGAGGCTGCTGTCCAAGCTTCCATCCATCATGGACGCCACCTTCCACCCTCTGCAGCAGACTGGAGAGGAGCTGAGCAGCTCCTTTAGTCAAAGACTTTTACAGCCTGTTTGGAAAAAGGAGCGCTGCTGCAGGTCATTCATCCCTGCTGCAACCAGACTCTACAATGAGACGCTACAACCGCAATAACTGCTGCAGTGGAGAATAATTACTATTTAATACCCTGTGAAATAACCTGTTTCTCTATATCTGACACCCTGAGCAATTACTATATATATATAAATATCCATCTATATAACAGGATATTTCCTACAGAAACAGACGGATCTGATGCTAATGTCCAGTGGCTAGCTCGTAGAGTAAAATGGCCCCCTGGTAGTGAAAGTGGTATCTAGTTTCCAGTTAGTTGAACCTGAAGCTAAACATTAGCGCAGACCTCCTGAAGTTCTTTAGCCAATAGATTCCTTCCCCTGGTAGGATCAGATGTTCTGGAGTTAGAAACAGTTTAGTTAGTTAATGTCTTTATAACCCAGGTACACTAAACGCGTTTACTCAACCACTGCAACAGGCTAGCATTGGGCAGCGTTAGCTACCTAGCTACCCTCACAGTGCCCAGGTCATTACTTGGGTTTGATGCTCTACGTCGCCGTCTGTCCTTGACTGCTTCTGTTCTGTTTAAGTTTTCATTTCCATTTTGTGTTGTCTTCTGGTTGTCTTTGAGTTCTTATATATTTCTTGTTTACCCTCCCCTAGCTCGCTTCTAGATGCTTCCATCCACACCTGCTCCCTGTCTGCTGATTAGCCCAGTCTCTGTTCAGTCTCCCATCTATACTCCTCTTCAGCAGTTTCTCATTGCTGGTTCCTTGTCGTTCTTTGCTCCTTGTGTGTTTTCCCTGACGTCTCTTGTTTTTTGGTTTGCTGTATTTAGTTTTTAGACTTTACCTTCTCTTGCCTTCGATCTACATTAAATCAGCAAATTCTCGTCTCTGCCTCCTTCTGTCTCTGAATTTGGGTCCTCTTCAAACCTCCATACAACCGGACACTCTGGTTACAGGAACAGCTTGGTTCTTCTCCTCTTTACATCAGTATGGATTGATTTTAATCATTTTTATCAACATTTAAAACTGACACCAGAGAAGGCAGATCTAGTAATAACTCTGAGCATCTAATTCTAGTCCAACAGGCAGCTGGTTGGTCAGGATGAGCTCCGACTTCAGCCTGATTAAGATCCACAGGATTTTCAACGACAGCTCATCCTTTTTAGACCTGCTTCATGGTTAAAAAACAACAACATTTGACCCTGTATATGTCAATATTTAACCAGACTCTGCACTCCACCATCTTTTGCACAGCACCTCCACACTTCCTCCATTTTGCATATGATTTATGTCATTTCAGTAATTATGCCCCCTGCTGTTATATAGGTCAGTTTATATTTTGTTTTTCCCTGACATCTGTCTGTTTAAATTGAAGCTCTGAGTGACGCAGTCTGTCACTAATGGCTAACAAAGACTCTTGAATCCAGCAACCCCTTCAGTGTCCACCATATTGGATCAGTCCATTTGCTGCAAATGTTCAGAAAGGTCCAAACAGACAGCAGCAAACCATTTGAAAACAAACCATGCAAAGAGCAGTGTTGCTAACTTAGCGCTTTAGTCGCTATATTTAGCCACTTTTCAGACCCCTCTAGCACTTTGATTTCTAAAAAGCTCCTAGCGCCAAATCTAGAGACTTTTTCTGCTACTGGAGACTTTGGAGACAACATCTAAAAGCAGCGAACTCTGCTCTCCAGAGCAAGTAGATTGGTAACCCCGCCTCCTGCTCTCCTCTATCTTGTCTACAAAAAGAGTCCAAACATTGAACAGATAATGGATGTCTATTCTATTTACATTTCTCTATCTGTAGAATGGGTCTGTTTAATGTGTTTTCTTCTCAGTTCAGAGGGGGGCCCTGCCTGTCTTTGCCTAGGGCCCCATATTTCCTAAATCCGCCCCTGCTTGAGTAGGAGGTTTTGCATCTGATCAGGATGTCATGAAGATGGATTGTTTCTATGTGAGCTTTTATCTTCTTTCTGTGTCAGTTTGCAGTTTGGCTTCAGAGAAACAGGCTGCAGCTCACACCCTGACCAGCACCGGAGCGGAGCGGAGCTGGTGTGCGCTACTGCGGTGTAACCGAGCTTTAACCAAAGTCTGAGCTCTTACTGGCTGCCTGTCTGCCTGTCTGCCTGCCTGGCTGGTGGATCCTCTGCAGGCCGTCAGGCTGCGTGTTTAGCAGCAGGTTCAGCTCCTGCAGGAAGCAGGCGCTGCCTTGCTCACCTGACTTCGGGTAGGTGACGATCCAGATGTCGCTGCTCCTCAGGGAGAAGTTGGAGATCTCCTCCATCTTCCCTCTGCAGAAGGGCGGCAGCCTGACTCCATCAAACTCAAAGTATCTGCTCTCAAACTCCACCGGGGTGCTCGGCGTGTCTGCCTCGCTCTCCGCCATCCTCCGGTGGACGGCACGCGCAACACACGCAGGCAGCTTCCGCTAAAAAGCACAGGAAGAATGATGATGATGATGATGGTGGTGGTGATGATGAAGGCCGTGGCAGCTGCAGAGGAATCGGGCAGCGAGGTGACCCACGCAGCAAATCTGGAGGAGGAGAGGTGACGTAATGCGCGCCCTCGAGAACCAGCATCAGGACCAGTGTGCGCGCTCACAGGGTTGACTGTTTGCTCCATCAGTGTCCATAAATAACCTGACGACCATCCTGTACGAAACAGCAGGTAAAGAATGGGAGGAAACAGATGAGCTGGTTTCATGTCCTCAGAGCTGCAGGAGGAAACCTAATGACCAATCCAAGGATGGAAGGACACAAACAAAAAAATAATCCAACAAGATGACCTTCAACCTTCAGTCTCTGATCACAGCGTCTGTCATTCAGTCCGTCGTGATTCCTGGCACTAGTGCTGGTCTGATTTATGGTTCAACACACCTATTAGCTCCGCCCCTTTTCCCAGTCAGCCTCCATCAGATCCACCTGCTCTCCTGACCATCAAACCAGCTATAAGACCAGTTAGTAGTGCCAGATTATTAAGAGCCATCGGTGTGTTTAGTCCAGTGTTACTGTTACCTGATTCTGAACTTATTCTGCCTCCTGATTCTCTGAGCCTACCTGAACCCTGTCAGACCTGTCATTTGGTTTTTGGATCTCCGACCTGCTTTCTGTACTCTGACCTGGCCCCCTGATTCTCACCTGGATTGTCTCTGGATCTGAGATTCTGACTATGGAGCAGCCCTCAGGTTTCTTATTCTGATTTGCCCCCTTGATCATTCTGCCAGTCTCTGCTCTCAGGGTTCTGACCCACCGTTCCCCTGGACCAACGGATGGGGAGACAACCAAAGCGGAACCATTGATGATAACAGACCATAAAAAACAGACTGGGATTCACCAAACTACATGTAGACCAGAACGAAACATCAGCTCTATGTTCACAGATGAAGAACAGAAGACCCAGCTGTGGAACATGGAGGAGGCTCTGTCATGCTGTGGGCTACTTTGCTTCATCTGAATCTCTGCAGGGTCCAATGAAATCTCCAGACTATCAGGGATGGTAGAGAGAAACATGCTGCAGTGCCAGAAAGCCTGGTCTCATCAGTAGCTCATGGGAGGAAAACATTGGAATGTTCTGAAGGGGCCCCTAGGGGCCCTGGCCTCCTTCCTACTGAGCATCTATGGAAGGAGGTGAAACAGAAAAGGCAGCCTGAGACTCTTGGATGAGGAGTGGAGCAGAATATCTGCTGGGAGGAGCAGAGGGCTGATTGACAGGAACATGAACCAATCATGGCAGAGATTGAATCTGAATGCTGGGAACTAAAGATGAAGTTCAGGGAACCTGAACATCGTTTAACTCCAGTTTCAGTTTATTCTTTAAAAGCAACGTCTGACTTTCCTTTGCTCAGTTTTATAAACATTTCTTTATTATTACTCTCTTTGTGATTATAGAGGGTTTTTTCTTTCAGTAACAGAGGAGAAGCAATTATTTTGTCCATAAATAGAGGAGGTCAGTGTAAAATCTCCTAGATTTATTTTTAATCCAGTTGCCAAACTCACCCAGAGCCATAGCTCTGTT